CCCCATAGTTCTCCTTTAACCATTCCCTACTCTAATGTTGGGCAGCAATGTTGTGTATGCATGTTGGTACTCCAGTGGCACTCTTTACTGAGCCTACGGCCTCATTCACACGGGAATCGGCCGGCACCTACAGCCCCGTGCTGCGTGCGGGGCCGTATCTGGCAGCTCCCGGGAAGGACAGGTGCTGAGTGTGATTAGTACGCAACCCCTGTCCTTCTCTATGGGACTACGCGGCCGTACGCCTCACTACGCTCACCCGCCCTGCACGTCCGCACGGGTGCGGGTGATCATACTCGTGCGCTGACAGGATAGATCCTGTCTGCGTCCGAGCCGGGACTCCCGCACCCGTACGGACCTGCACTTGGGGTGAGCGTAAGGGGGCATATGGCCACGTACTCCCATAGAGAAGGGCGGGTGCTGCGTACTAATCACACACAGCACCTGTCCTTCCCGGGAGCTGCCAGATACGGCCGTGCACGCAGCACGGAGCTGTACGTGCCGACCGATTCCAGTGTGAATGAGGCCTACATGTAAAGAGTATTTCACAAGCCGGATGTGCACTCCTGGTGTTAGCAGTAGCAGTGGGGCACTACAGCAACAAGTTCAATTGTAATATCTGTGACTGAATGAATGTAATCAAAGGGCAAGCGGCACAAAAGTCGGGGGAACTAAGGATCTGACATTCCCAGAACTGTTGGATTTCTATTACATTTGCGTCACGTCTGACTACATCAAGACACAAGCAGAATCTTAAACACAGAAGTAAATAATGTACTTGTATGTTCGCCTAACTGGTTAGACAGTTATTATTAGGCACAACATCATTTCAGATGTTTTCCAGGCGCTTCTTCTGAAATGTATTGTTGCCAGAACTGCGTGATGAACACGCGTGATGAACATGCACAATAGAATGACATGGAAATCTGAGTGTCCAGCATTGAAGCGTTGCTGGATAAATGCTTCAGATCGCTCAGGTGTGAATGGGGCTAATGCTGGCCATACACTGGTATATAAATCCGTAAAATCTGATTGGACCATTCAATCATGCCATCAGAGACTTGACGAATGTCCTTCGAAATTCCATTGGATTTTGGAATGAATGGAGTTTCCGTAATGGAAAACCACATTTCACTTTTAGAATTTTGTTTGTTCAAGAAAAATGTTCCATCCTGCTCCATCGACTTGTTTCGTCGCTACGGTTGAAATGGATCGTCAACTAAAAGAAAGTCAAACCAAATGTTCCGAAAACAAATCTACCAGTGAAAGACCAGTTTAAAGGAGAAGTCTCTATATAATCCTCACCGCCTCAGGCTGTTACTGCAGACACCTCAATGTGTATACAGCCCAGTACACAGCATGCGTCTAGCTCAGCCTTCCACCAGTAACAGGAAAGAAAAAGAAAAAAGTTGCTGAAAGTTTACTGAGTGGAGTCTGGACACTGTACACATCACACAGGGAAGTTCCACAGCCGGCATCGTCTACGTGACTGGGATCACTGGCTGACACGGACAGTACAGAGGGAACATACTTTCACCCACAGCCCATCTGCACACTAGGACAGGCACGGCTCTCCCATCATTCAACCAAGTGATCAGACATGTGAATGAAGAGTTCTGAGATTCGGAGTACATTCCCTGTGACCTGCGTGCCGTGAGAGTGTAAATCACAATCATTGATCTCTGCAGATGTACTCACCAACTTTGCTCCGCTAGCAGCGAGTTGTGGGGAGATCTGTGCTCAGCGCTGAACACGCCACCACCTCTCAATATATGATCCCGGGGTAGATCCGTGTACAGTATGTACAGTGCAGCGTGCTCACTGCATACAATGTAACCAACTCGATTTCTATGATACAAAGTAGCACACGCACCTCCCACACTCCTGTCCCTGATGGCTGTGTGTTTAACCCTTTCCTATGTACAGGCTCCTGGATATCTATGATTACCGAGAAATCCCATATCACTGCACATGATTAACTCTTTCATTACTATCCGATCCCTAGTAGCTGCATCTGATTAACCCTTTAACTACTAGCGAATCCCTGGTGCCTTCATGCGACTAGCCCTTTCATTACTAGTGAATCCCTGGTGCCTTCATGCGACTATCCCTTTCATTACTAGCGAATCCCTGGTGCCTTCATGCGACTATCCCTTTCATTACTAGCGAATCCCTATGTACAGGCTCCTGGATATCTATGATTACCAAGAAATCCCATATCACTGCACATGATTAACTCTTTCATTACTATCCGATCCCTAGTAGCTGCATCTGATTAACCCTTTAACTACTAGCGAATCCCTGGTGCCTTCATGCGACTAGCCCTTTCATTACTAGTGAATCCCTGGTGCCTTCATGCGACTAGCCCTTTCATTACTAGCGAATCCCTGGTGCCTTCATGCGACTAGCCCTTTCATTACTAGCGAATCCCTGGTGCCTACATGCGACTAGCCCTTTCATTACTAGCGAATCCCTGGTGCCTTCATGCGACTAGCCCTTTCATTACTAGTGAATCCCTGGTGCCTTCATGCGACTAGCCCTTTCATTACTAGTGAATCCCTGGTGCCTTCATGCGACTAGCCCTTTCATTACTAGTGAATCCCTGGTGCCTTCATGCGACTAGCCCTTTCATTACTAGCGAATCCCTGGTGCCTTCATGCGACTAGCCCTTTCATTACTAGTGAATCCCTGGTGCCTTCATGCGACTAGCCCTTTCATTACTAGTGAATCCCTGGTGCCTTCATGCGACTAGCCCTTTCATTACTAGCGAATCCCTGGTGCCTTCATGCGACTAGCCCTTTCATTACTAGCGAATCCCTGGTGCCTTCATGCGACTAGCCCTTTCATTACTAGTGAATCCCTGGTGCCTTCATGCGACTAGCCCTTTCATTACTAGTGAATCCCTGGTGCCTTCATGCGACTAGCCCTTTCATTACTAGCGAATCCCTGGTGCCTTCATGCGACTAGCCCTTTCATTACTAGCGAATCCCTGGTGCCTTCATGCGACTAGCCCTTTCATTACTAGCGAATCCCTGGTGCCTTCATGCGACTAGCCCTTTCATTACTAGCGAATCCCTGGTGCCTTCATGCGACTAGCCCTTTCATTACTAGCGAATCCCTGGTGCCTTCATGCGACTAGCCCTTTCATTACTAGCGAATCCCTGGTGCCTTCATGCGACTAGCCCTTTCATTACTAGTGAATCCCTGGTGCCTTCATGCGACTAGCCCTTTCATTACTAGTGAATCCCTGGTGCCTTCATGCGACTAGCCCTTTCATTACTAGCGAATCCCTGGTGCCTTCATGCGACTAGCCCTTTCATTACTAGTGAATCCCTGGTGCCTTCATGCGACTAGCCCTTTCATTACTAGCGAATCCCTGGTGCCTTCATGCGACTAGCCCTTTCATTACTAGCGAATCCCTGGTGCCTACATGCGACTAGCCCTTTCATTACTAGTGAATCCCTGGTGCCTTCATGCGACTAGCCCTTTCATTACTAGTGAATCCCTGGTGCCTTCATGCGACTAGCCCTTTCATTACTAGCGAATACCTGGTGCCTTCGTGCGACTATCCCTTTCATTACAAGTGAATCCCTGGTGCCTACATGTGACTATCCCTTTCATTACTAGCGAATCCCTGGTGCCTTCATGCGACTATCCCTTTCATTACAAGTGAATCCCTGGTGCCTACATGCGACTATCCCTTTCATTACTAGCGAATACCTGGTGCCTTCGTGCGACTATCCCTTTCATTACAAGTGAATCCCTGGTGCCTACATGTGACTATCCCTTTCATTACTAGCGAATCCCTGGTGCCTTCATGTGACTATCCCTTTCATTACAAGTGAATCCCTGGTGCCTACATGCTAATAGCCCTTTCATTACTAGCGAATCCCTGGTGCCTTCATGTGACTATCCCTTTCATTACTAGCGAATCCCTGGTGCCTTCATGTGACTATCCCTTTCATTACTAGCGAATCCCTGGTGCCTTCATGTGACTAACCCTCTCATTACAAGTGAATCCCTGGTGCCTACATGTGACTAACCTCTTCATTGCCAGTGAATCCTTGGTGCCTACATGTGATTTCCTTACTAGTAAATCCCTGGTGCCCACATGGGCATCAACCTTTCATTACTACTGAACCCCTGGTGCCTACACATTATTAATTCTTTCATTACTAGTAAATGCCTGGTGCCTATATGTAATTAACCCTTTCATTACTAATGAATCCCTGGTGCCTGCACGTGATGAACCCTTTCATTACTAATAAATCCTGGGTACCTACACGGGATTAAGTCTTACATTAGTAGTGAATCCTGGCGGTCTATATGTGATTACCCTTGCATTATGAGTGAATCCTTGGTGTCTACGTGTTAGTAACCCTTTCATTAATAGCGAATACCTGGTGCCAAAATGTGATTAACCCTTTACCAGTGAATCATTAGTGCCACATGTGATTAACTCTCTCATTACTAGTGAAGTCCTGGTGCCAACATGTGATTAACCCTTTATAGTGAATCGCAAAGCACATTGTGCCTGCAGTACAGGCTAATGTGAAGGAGCCATTACTAAACGTCACAAATAAGACCTTATTAATCTTTGCGCACCAAAAGGCGCATTGCCACAAGCTGTGGTAAGTTGAGATGCAGCGACGGGCACATGCTGCATTTTTCCATAGCGCACACCACGACGCATTTCCTGTGTGAACAGAGCACATCAGCTTCCATTTTCAAAGCTGCAGATTGGTTGCTATGGGCAACGGCTCCAGATTCTGTCAGCTCCCGTTTTGATTAACTCCTCCCAATGAGAACAATTATTTTCTTTGCGTCCACCAATGCCGATTGGCGCAGCTCAACTTTGGAAAACTTTCCCAATGCATTGAACCAGCAAGTCTGGAATGTGATGTGAATGAAGCTCCAAGATCTGCATCATACATGGCACATCTGATGGAGGACTGTGATGTGTATTGGAAGATGCAATCACTGATCTCTGAGGATGTACTCACCAACTATGAGATGTGATGGGAGCCGGGACACGTCACCTCCTCACACACACCAACTTCACACAACGGAATACATCGCCTGTACCAGTCCAGCAAAAGACGTGATTGGCACCGGGTATTGGCAGAAGCAGCACTGGGCGGGGCTCAGCTCAGGTCACTGATTGGCTCTCTTCGCTGTCGCTTATATAGTCCATACTTTCCACGTGTACGTCCTTCTCCCCCCAGTGGCTGGTATTAGATACTGCAGGTGAGATAAAGTAGAGCGAGCTGGAGAAATGTCTTGTGTTCGGGATGGAGAAGTCAATGTACTTTGTGCAGTGGAAAGGAAGGCTGGATTAGGCATAGGAAGGACTTGGAATTCCTTTCTAGTGTCTGAGATGGGAGAGCTGATAATAAAAATGTAAAGTGTATGTCAAGGTAAAAAAAAGAAATGCAGAACATCTAGGGTTGCCATATTGTATATATTAATTGTATATATATTATTTTATTTTGTGTGATGTAGTGGAAGATACATCTTCATAAAATCACTTATACACTATACACTAAGCAAGTGTACACGCAAGTCGACTTAGGAAATCACCAAGTTAACAATAAGGGCTTAAGTTCGTTTATTATTTAGAAATATCACAATCACCACTGTTATATTACTTAAAGTGACATTAAACCCTCAGATTTTTTAACATAAACTAATACTGTAATGTGCGCCTTACTGTAATCCGTGGTTGTTTCCCTTCTCTTTGCTGATCTTCTTTTTAAATCCTCATCTCTTCTCATGCTTTGGGAGAACTTCCCTTTTCAGCTCAGGGCCTCTTCCTATAGTGCTGGCTCAGGTTACAAGCCCATAGAAACGTATACACAGACACCATGTATCCATTCCTGAGACAAGGCAATCTGCTGCAAAACAGAAGTTCTGCCCAGCATGAGAACAGATACAGATTTAAAAGGAAGAGCAGCAAAGAGAAGGGAAACAACCATGGATTACAGTAAGGCACACATTACAGTATTGTTTTATGTTAAAAAATCTGAGGGTTTAATGTCACTTTAAGGAAAGCAAGTATTACAAAGTTTAAAGACACACACCAGGTGATTTAATACTTAGTAGATCAGCAAACACCAAGCGCAACATATTAGCTACATTGTTCAAGATTTTCAACATACATTGTTGCAGCTGGTGACTATTCACATCTTTCCTAGCGCAACTAATTGTCTATTTTATTACACCGTCTCTGCTGCCAACTGCTAATGCGTCTCCAGGGACACAGGCTCTGAAGAAGGGGGCATGTCCCCAGAAACGCGTTGGTAGGAGAACACTGGCAATAGAGCAGAAGTGCCAGTGTGTCTCCTGTATCTCCACATCTTTATATTACAAGCAGCAGTGACATTGGGGATAATTGGATTCTTGATGAACATTATACTGCTTCCTTTGTCAGTACATTTATGTGAAAGGCGCTCCGATGTTTTTAAGTTAAAAAAGTAACCCATGCAGTGTGGCTACCCCCACATTACAAGGGTTAAGTGCTCGTTTTGGTCTAGGGTATGAAATAAAGAAGATATACTTACCCAAACCTTGGTCCTACCTGGTTGCTAGGCCAGTCCCTGCAGCCTCTTCTTCCCTGGGCTCCGGCAGTCTAAGCCCTGCTGATTTCATCACGTGTAATACATGAACAGCCGGCTCGATGCTGATTGGCTGGCAAGCCGGCTTTCCAGCCATTCAGCATGGTGCTGGCTTCCTGATTGGCCAGGAAGCTGGCTCAATGCTGATTGGCTGTGAAGCCGGTTTCCCGGCCAAGCTCAATCAAGCAGATTGGACAATATGGAGCCAGATTTTTGGCCAATCAGATTGCCCGGGAAGCCGGCTCCCTGGCAGTGGAAGCACCGGTATAGGCACTCGGTATCAACGAGTACCGAAAGCAAAGTATCGGTACTCGGACTCGGTACAAAAAAAACGGTAATGATGCATCCGTAGTAATCAGGACAAAGGTTCTATAGCTCTGTATTGTATATAGTGTATGAGTCCCTTCTATGACCTCCTGTATCATGACTCTGTACTTTTCATTTGTAGTTAGTATTATGCTAATTAAAGGATTTGTGAAAGGTCATACTGAATTGTTTAGAATATCATCATTTACATAATTCCTGTTAATGTGTAACTGGTAGAACATAATAAAGAACTGCAGAAAAGATCAACCGCTGGAAACGTTTTAGCAATAAATCTCTAATCCACTGCATATTTTTTATATATATTATTAATTATGCATTTCTTTCATTTTTGCAAAATATGAACTTAGCCTTTAAGGTACTTAAATGCATTTTTAACATTTAACTCCTGAGCTTAGTGTCACTTTAAGGAACTTTTAGATTCCTTATCCCTTGTCTCTGCGTTCCTTACGTCCGCGGTCCGCCAGCACCCTATGTCACCCCACGCACAGGGTTGGCGGATGGACCCACAGCACTCAGCGAGAACCAGGCATGTGACCAGCAGAAGTGTGTTGGATAGAGAAGATCCTTTAGCAGCTATATATCTTCAAGAGGCACTGTCTGCTGGAGAGGTGAGTATAATCTTAATTTATTGCAGGGTGCTGTAAAAAAAAAACAATGATTGCAGGGTCCCTTTAAGAGCCAGCAAACATAAACTACAAATTCATGTAAAAGAACATTTTTTACTAAAAGATACTGGAGATAAAAGTGATGGATGATATATTTCTACACATAGCTATTCCTGTCAGTATATGCATGGCTTAAAGTGAACCTGTCAGTCTTTTTTAACGTTTATAAGTAAAGGTCCTGTCTAAGATTAGGCACAAACTGGCTCTGCCATTAGCATTGTTAGCCAGCAAAGCCTCTTCGGTGCACCCCTCTGATGCTGGTTTCACCTTGTCACTACTACTTCAGATCTCTACATCCAACTCTATTCCTAAACATCAAGTGTTTGCACTCAGAACAATGCATGACAAGAACCCATGTGTATCAAATAAGTGACTTTATTTACAGTGCAACTGCATAATAAAAACTCAAAGAGCTCATTCTATTATGTTATGTACCACAAAATATTATTTTACTGTAAAAACAAGGTCCTCTTACATAAAAAAAAGAGATAGATGTGCTGCATAGCTTTCTGATAACAAAGGATGCCGGCCTTCTTAGCTCAGATTGTTCTGCTTCAGGGGACTTTCATCTGAGCAGAGGACAAGAAGAAGGACTTGGATGTGATGACCTGGACGCGGCACGTTGGACACGTCTGTTTCTTGCACAGCCACTTCTCTATGCACTGCAGAGCAAGACAAAAGAAACAAAAGTTTTCATCACATGACTAAGGAGCTTTAAGGTGTCCTGCTTAGGACACATGGGGGCCCATTTATAAAGGAGCTCAATAGCCTTACTGAGGCTTTACCAACAAATTTTTAAAAACCCAGCATATTTGTAAAGCCCGGCAGTATGCTTAACAAATGTGTTTAGCCCTTTGCTTGCTTCAAGCGAGTTTAATTTATCTTAATTTATTGGCAGGAGGAAGCCAGCCCAGTAATGATGTCAAAGTCATGTGTCCGGTCTCCCTTTCTATCACCAGCGGCGGATCCAGGGTATGGTACACTTCCTGGGCGCCACTTCAACGAGGGGCGCCACTCAACAGGTCGGTGAAAGTTCGACGACCCTATAGACAGCTGACTTTTTTCCCTCCCCATGCCTCTCCCATACTCATCTCCCCACCCAGCTCTCAGCAACCAGACATCCAGAGAGGTCACTGGTTGCCAGGAGATGGGTGGGATGCTTGCCAAAGCTTCCCAGGTTGCTAAGAGTCAGGCAGGGAGACATGATGTAAGGGCCATGTGTATGTAACGTCCGTTCTCCAATCTGCTCTGTGTGAACAGTGAGACAGGAGTGCTGTACTCACAGCGCTTCCTGTCTCAGCTGTCACAAGCCGGGCTGCACAGGGATAAAGCACAATTCTGGGCTTCATCGGCTGTATTGGAGGGCAAGGGAGACATTCTACCATTTTCTTTCTGAATATTTTTTTGGGGGGGGGGGGGGGGTTTTTCGTTCCGCACCAGGTGACACCAACCCTAATGACCCCTCTGATGATAGTATCTCTTTATGTGTTAAGCATAAAGTACAGCTGCACCTTAGGATAACTCTAAATCTGTAACCAACCATACTTAGCCCTCCTGCACTATTCTACAATAAAACCCCATACCTCGGTAGCACAGCTAAGGCTTGCTCCAATAACTCTAAGGGTCATGTGAACTGTTATGGATAGATTAGAGAGGAAGGTTTTTCTGTTGGCCCTCTATATATTCCTGACATTTAGCAGCTTGTCCAAATGAGCAGATCTTGTAACAACTGCCCTTCGCAATGCACACCAGAGTACACATTTTATAGGGCGTATAATTTGTGCTGGCTGGTGTGAACAAGCCCCTTAGCTGAAAAAAACAATCATCTAAAAAGGAAGTAGCGAAGAATCCTATTAGATCTACCGCTGAAACAAGTATCGAGGGACAAAGTGCACCTATATTAAAGCGGAAATAAACCCATCCATACCCACGTGCCCTACAGCAATACGACATTCTCAAGCTCTCTCGCAGACGCTGATATCTTCTCCTTGCCTTCTTTCGGGTTGAGTGCGGGATGATTGGTCCTTTTGATTGGCCCGGCCTGGATAACATAACTCCCACACATGCACACAGGAGTTAATTTATCCTATCACTTCTCCGTGCCAAAAATGTATGCTGAAGAGACAGGGGGGCATTTATCAATTCTATTGTATGGTAAAGCAGTGCTAGACAGAGGCAATGAGAGAGATTGGGAGAAAGATTTATTATAAGGTTACAGCTTGAGTCATAAATTCCTTCCTCAGCTGACAACCCCCCCCCACCACCACCACCACCACTTTTGAATTATGCATCCGTTTAGAGTAAAAATTGGTTGCATCTGTAATAGTACATCTGGCTTAAAACTTTGCAAACAGTTGCACTTGGCTGTCCAGGAATATAGACACCCAGGTCTGGAAACCTGCCCCAGAGACTTTGCAGATGGAGAGTCTGTCTAAAATGTGGCTATTTATGTCACTAACTTGCTAACTAAGTGTTGTATGATGGTATATTACTGTACCTCTTTATGGAATCTGTGCAAACAGTGCAATTCCCAGATACTACCAGTGTGGAGGTCGTCATGACAAATGACACATGGGTCCTCATCTTCATCCTTCAAAGGAACAAAAATCATTATCAGTATAATTACAATACAAATCCTAATGCTTAACAAGGTCACAGACAAATGAAACATGAAACAGAGATGACAGTGAATGGCCTGAGGTGACAATGAGCTTGATTGGGCCCTGGATGGGAGCCAGGATGTAAATTGCAGTTGTTGGCGTTGAAAGCATTAACCATTTAACACGAGACACAATATCCATTTGAGTGGGACAAACATAAACATGCAAAGAATACAATGTTGGTTGGTACATATTATACTCACAAGTCATAAGAATAAGTAGATCCCAGAAAGCTCTACGTAAATGAATTAGCTTGGTGATGCGTTACACAACTGTGGCACCAATTTTTCCTTATCAATAGACAGGTAGGGTTGAATACGGGCTTAGCTGTAAATATTACCTGCCATGCTGGAAAGCTACACCATTCAGTCACTTTCCTTTTCATCCAAAAAATGCTCTTGCTGAACAATTGGCCAAAGTAAAGTCATAGGGGCTTGAAACAGTACTAGTAGCGGAGACTGGTATTCAGGACCAAACTATATTTTAATCCCCTAGCATCCCATCCCACAGAATCCCATGAACCTCATGGTTCTCTAACCTCTGCCTATGTAAAACTTTTTGTTAGTGGGGTTAGAGTCATAGCACCCAACCCACAGCCCGGGGACTGCATGCAACCCTTTGGCATTTATTGAAGGGCCCTCAGAGTCCCTGTAGTCCCTAGATACTTACTAAAGCCAGTAAAGGAAACATTCTTAAGCTGGCCATACACTAGTAGATTTCTGAATGAAAGATCTTTCTTTACCATCCAAAGATCTTTCTTTACCACCCGATATTGTCATAATGCCATTCGATTTTGTTAAAATCTTTCGTACCAAAGTTCTTTCGAAAATCTAGTGTATGGCAACCTTTAGACTAGCTCCCAGTAGTTAAATAGTTTGGTTTATTTCTTTCACACTGTCTTAGTTTTTCTGTGCTGTCCATCCCTTTCCTCTTTTTATGTTTTATTTCCATGTATCTTTTTTAGTGGATTTTGCTGAGAGAAATATTGAATGTGGCACCAGTGTTTTGAATGGGTGCTGTAGGAAGCACAAATGTGTATAAAAGGTTTATAAAGGAGATGTTGCAGCAGCGATCTCTAGCAGGCTCATGTAATATGTCTACAGTCTATGACTGCCTACTATAACATGACCAGACCCCCCCCCCGTCTCCAACTATTCTTAGTGATAGTACTGGACCATTTTCTTTAGCATACCCATAGTCTCTGACCATCTCCTCTTGCATGTATGCATTCTTTCTGCAGCATTAAATTCAAAGAATATTGTGGCAATGGTTACGCCACTGAAAAGCAGCCCTGGCACATAAATAATTCTTGACCACATTTTTGGGCAAGATTTATATGTTGCAACTGTGCTGTGATCCAGGCCAATGTGAATGCCAGAAATAGCCAGGCACATAGTATTTTAGAAGGAGGTCACGAATTGCAGACCCATATTTTTCAGCACAGGTTTATGTGCATTAGATGAATGTGCAATCCTCCATAGGACTTATATCTGCATAACAGACCCACCTGGAAATGTAACCCTTGTTTGTGGAAGGAAATGTACTTTTATGTGACTAGGAAGCAGCATGCAGAGGTGACATGTACTCAGACTTATTAAGCATTGGTGCGAGAACTCTTACCAACCTTATGTAGTCACTGCTGTGTGAATACCTGGGAAATGATCCCATGTATCTACACAGCCTGTTGGTAATGAGGAGCTATGTGTAATCAGGAGACATGATCTCAGGCACGTATGTTACCTTCCCTTAAACAAGTCATCAGCTCTGTTTACCATAACTGGTGTGAGCAAACACTCGCTGAATAGACTCTAGACACAGTTGTAAAGCTGGTTATATGCTGGTAGACTTTCATATAAAAAACCTTGTCAGAAGATTCCAAAATGAATCATCAAAAACTTGATGAATGTCGTCCAAAATGTTGTTTTATTTTAACATTCAATTTGGGAATGAATGACGTTTCCCGAACGAAAACCACAACATTCACTGTTAGGTTTTTGTTCCTTCAAGAAAGTTTTCCATCCTGCTCCTTCCATTTTTTTTTCACCTATGGTTGAAATTGGTTATCAGTCTGAGCCATTACTTATGAAAATATCAAACAAATGTTCTAACCGTGAGTACCCAGCTAAAAGATAAAGGTTTTTTTTTAAATATCTTTGCTGTCTCTACCCTATAAAATATGATAAGATTTTTTCTGAGCATGCAATTATTTTTCTGTCGAAATTATTTAAAAAGGGAGTGCAAAAAGCAAGTGCAAATGATGGGCAAAATCAATGATGACATACTATATATGATGCACTCTTCAAGGTGACAACACTGTTCATTCTGCAGGGAAATTACACAGCAGCATTGTTACCCTGTAGTCAGGGTAGTAATGTAATTTATAATGGACTTTAAGCAAAAGACAAATAAAGTCCAACTCCAGTGAATGTTTTTTAAGCAGTTACAACAGCAGTTTTTTTGTTACCTTTTGAAAGTCAAAAGTTTTAAACTATATGAATAAAAGTTGACTATTGTAAGCAGTATTATATGGGTTGTTCCAACTGCAATGTTTTTTGGGCAACTGGGTCTGTTACAGGAAGTGAAAAAAATGCTAGATTTCCTGGCAGCATCAATAGGTAGCAAGAGAAACTTCTGTGTTAATGCTAAAACACTGCATCGTACATGTCATTATTATTTTGCCTTAGTTACACTTTAAGTTTAACATCTGGATTTCTTCTGTAAGACCTGATCAGGGTTTTTGAAGTTGAGTTTTTGCTTGCACTTACAAAGCTACATTGGGATTAAAGTTTTGTTCTAGATTTAAATGCATCATGAGAATTTATTGTCTCTGTATTGCCAGTCCTGTTCACTACCAATAACAAGCTTTTGAGGATAGATTAATCTCTTAGGGATTTATGGGTATGGATTACAGAGTCTTATATAATTTAAGATGTTGTCCTAGCATTTGCTCACGTAAGATAAATAATCTATTCATGGCATGTCCAAATGCAACTGTATGATCCCAAAACTGTGCCATTACATTTTCTCTTGAGATATAGATTTAACAAACACAAAAGGGGATACAGATTTCACTTTTCCTTTTGCAAACCTGTGGGGGCACCTTACCTTATAAGATGGCCCCAGGTCCATTGAGTTGGCATTTCCAGTTGTCTGTTTCAAAATGTGAATAATTGCCTTATCTTCAGAGCATTACAAAACCCGGGCACTATGTCATGTATATGTACTATAACTTCAGTGGTCAATAGTCCTCCCTCCACTTTTTGATCCCCCACAACTATCCAATGGACAGCCTCAAAAGAAGGGATGTGAGAGAGATAGAGCACAGAAGTTGTAGCTCTATAATATAGCACCTAGGGTTATGAAGGTGCAGGCAGCTGGAGATATCTACGGTGGTGACACATTTCTAGGTAAAGTAGGCCTAAAGAACAAAGCAACAGGTTTACTTTAATCCTCTCTCCCCAGCACTTACATTTCCTTCACTCCTCAAACACTCTGTTCAGCAGCTATGTGGCAGGATAATTAGCTTTGTGTAGGTTGAAGCATACACAGGGCTATGGAATCTCCCCAAGTGACAGTGCTGGAGTCACATGCTCCTCCGTACCTGGAAGAACCATGTATTTTCCTTAGTCCCACCAGCTGAATAGAGTTGTGGGCTATTGAAGGAAAGATAAGTACAGTACAGTGCTGCTGCCTTCACCCCTATTTGTTGCAGTAATTTGGGGTGAAAACCTGCATTTATCACACATTACCACAAAGCATGATACCACATGGTACAATGTGTGTTCTTTGCAGTGCCACTCTCCAAACACCAGTACAGTAGCCTGCAATGCACACACGCTGCAACACAACAAACACGCATACTATGTGTTGGGGTCCACTGCTTTAACCACTTGCAAATAAGAAAACAACAATTGCTGTACATGCACCCGTTTATATACAACAGATAGACGGCTCCTTCCTCATTACAGGTACATGTATGGCGATTTATTTTTTATTTTTTGCTCGCACATGGCCAAACAGGACACTGTAAACATTTGTTACAGCTGGCAATGACTGTTTACAAACAGGTGTTCAGGTGACTATGGCCGTCCGATCGCTTGTATCACGTGTGGAAGTGTGCAGCCCCCCTCTCCGCTGCTGCTGCCGGCTATCCCAAGTTCCACTGTCCCCTGTCTGGCAGAACAGGTCTGTTCACTTCGACTGGAGGGAGATCAGCACACTTCAAGTGGCCGATCTCTCCAATCCCTGAAAGCGGAAGTGATGTGATTCCATTGCCAACTTCAGTGTGTAATGTCTCTGGCTGCTGTAGCCGGTGAAGAAGGTGGTGAAGCACGATCTGTGCTTCACCTGCTTCATTGGGGTATATAAGTCTATATGATGTCTCCATAAGAGGGACCTGTCACTGTATTTGTGCTATGGGGGCTAACATAGCAATAAAGTTACATTAAAAAAAGTTAGTAAAAAAAAAAGAAATTAAAATCACATATACAAAATGTTTAAGGTCCCCCTCCCCAATGTACACGCATATTCAAATGCAAACACGCATTGGGTATGCCTACGTGTGAAAATGGCAATTGAGCCACATGATGAGCAGTAAAAGCTTTTAAAGCGTAGCCTATGGGCAAATTTGGGTATGGTAGTTTTTTGGGGATTTCACAGACGCACACACTTTTGAGGCTTGACATGTTTGGTGTCTATTTGTCCATTAGCTCCGATGTGACTAAAGAAATGTAACAGAATACATTTTGCCCTAAAAGCAAGCCCTATTTTTGCGTTTTCAGTGGAACGGAGCGCTGGCAAAGATTTGTTACGTGTACGATCACACTGCGGGCGGTGGGGGCGTGGAAGCGTTGCCATTGAATTCTCAGTGATCGCGGTGTGCGGTCCAGCAGCTACCGCTCTGGAGCGCACACGTTTTCGGTGTGAACAA